TGTTAAGACTATTTGTACCCCATGAGTTTGATATGGTTACCTTCACAATATAGGATATCCAGTCACAACTTGCATATTAAACTGAATCTTACACGTGGCGGCGAATTAACAAGAATTTATTTTCCAAAAAAAATTGTGACAAAACAGGAATGTAAATACTGCTCGACATCGACATAGCATATGCTGTTGAAGGATCTGCTAAAGATCCGATCAGCTAAAAGTAGGATATAAAAAAAGTAACAAATCTCTCTGAAGCGGAATAAGTTTATTCATGTCTGTAAATGAGGTAGCAGCTGAAATATAGTATAACCAACCAAACTCATAACATAAATATTTAACCTGTGTAAATATATTACTAAGGTTATCAATTTGACTGCCATCTTGAAAATTTCATAAGCGGAAATACATTGAAAACTGTCGATGGAAGCATTCATTTGGCCGAACTCATCTATTTCCAAAAGGAATCTGTGTCTACTTTTTGTTTTTCTTTGAACGACGAACTTATACTTTTAAAACTATCACTAGAGAAAAATTAAACTGATAACATTTAGTAACTTGACTACCTTTACATGCATGTAAATGAAAAATATGAACCAAAGGTTATTTATTTCACCGGAACAGTAATGTGTTGGAGAAGTTACCATGCAGATTACTTTAATTACATCTCGTTCGGTTGTTCGTCGTTTACAGCAGCTGGCATCCACGCCGCTTGAGCTTGTCCCAGCACAGTACGACGAACAAACTCCTCCACAGCAATACTCTCCACTGTCACACTAGTAGTGGGACGAACAGGAACAAGAAGACGAACTACTACTGCATTTGCTATTACAGCATTTCTTGCTCGATCCACATTCGTAGTCGTATGTGCAGTAACGGCAAGAAGACGAACTACTGCATTTGCTATTACAGCATTTCTCGCCCCATCCACATTGGTGGTTGTACGAACAGAAACAACGGTCTCTGCAGACATAATCACAACAGGACTCACTGTAGGAACAATCACTGTCGTAGGTACAGTAGGTAGCACTTCCCAAGGCAAAGAAACAGACGAAAAGAAAGCATTGAAGTTCCTTTGGGGCCATTGTCCTTTCACAATTTCAACTGCGTCCGTTCGATGTGGGACAATAATCGGTTGGCTGATTTCCAAATTCTCTCCGGACACTTTACCATGGAAACCCACGAACAAAGAAACTAAAAACGTAATAAATTTGTCAACCCTGTCATCATTTAAGAAATCGCAGTCATTGGTAAATATTAATCTCCGATAAACATACGTAGCAACAAGAAACGGTTTGTCCTTCTACCTCAGCGGGAGGATCCTGGGTTGGACCGGGTGGTGAATAATGCAATTTGTGATAATCGTAATGAGCATAAATAAATATTTTGTCGACACGTGTCAAAAGACTGGAGGCAAGTGCGAGGTTTGCGGGGAGTTATGGGATCGTAGTTTGTAATTTTAGGTCGTTAATTAGGCATTCTATGGTCAGTCGTCGCCGTGTTTAGTTGTTAGGTCGCGTTGTTGTTTAAGTCGAGGGAAAAAATCCCGTAAAAAGTGGGGAAAAGAGTCTGGAAAAGAGTCGGGAAAAGGTCGGGAGAAAAGTCGGGAAAAAAGGCAAGAAAAAATACGAGGATAAAGTCGGGAAAAAAGTCAGAAAAAGTCGGAAAAAATTCGGGAAAAAGGTCGGGAATAAAGTAAAAAAAAAAGACGGGAAAAAGTCAGAGAAAAAAAAGACAGAGCACAGAAAAACTCAAGGGGAGATTTGTAATTGAAGGCGTAATAATAATTTATTATTGAAAGCATAATGGCACTTAATGTGCTCCTTTACGCTACTAATCATAACCATTATAATTTTCTTAAATGTGATTGGCGCATCAGCTGCTTCTTTTTTCACTAATCATTCTGTTCAGTTGGTTGTAATCAGACACCTGTAATCGGACAGTTGAAGCAGCCAATCATGCTAGGTCCACTCAGCTAAATCCACCAATCA